GCCCTGGGAGGAGACTCAGGATGGGGGAAAGGCTGGGGTGGGAGTCGGGGTAGAAGGAGAGTCGAGCTGGGAGTCAAGCTGCCCAAAGCCATGTGACCCTAGGTTTCACCTGTGGCTTCCATGTGCTGCCATCTCTCCGTCTACAATGTGGAGGGGAGATGGGAGATGGTCGGTCCAGGGCTTCTATGCTGCAGGCCTCAGCACTAAGAATAATCATGCAACAGCATGCAACAAACAACAGTCACTGACGTTAGGTCAGCACTGCTGTGTGCCAGGCAATACATTCACTTAGTAATTCCTCACAACAACCCTGCAAAGTTGGTGCTGTCCTTATCCTGATTGTGCAGTTGGGGGAACAGGCACACGGAGGTTAGGTAACTTGCCTGAGGCTACACAGGTGACATACAGAGGCTCTCTCAAGCCAGCTCTCATAACTGCCATGAACAATTTTCTAGACTCTCAGGAGTCTGCAGAGGGAGGGGCTGCCCCCGCATAGCAGGGTCTTTGGCACCACAGAGGGACTCTAGGCTCTGCACTGGCCCATAGGCCGCTGGTGGTCTGACACCCTAGAGGTCTTTGGAAGCCCCTTCCACACAACGGAGCAGTGGAAGCTTGGAGAGTGTACCAGAAACAGAGTTTCCCTTGGGGCTTTCCAGGGACTCCTGTGTTGGGACCACCTCCGAGGGAGAAGCCCCTCCCCCTTCGAGGCTGTTGTCCTCTTCAGGTCCACAGAGCCTGAGAACCTGGTGGGATCCTCCCAGGCTGGAGGGATAGATACATCAAGGGCTGCTCCCGATTTGAGCTTCCCTAGTATTATTATTTAGCCAGCTAAATACTGTGGCTCAGGTTCTGCACCTTTGGAGATGCAGGAAGTACTTGTATCATCCCCAGCAGACCTGGATTCACATCCTACCCCAGCTCTTACTTCCTGTGTGGCCCACTCAGAACCTCCATTTCCTCATCTGTAAGATGGACCCAAGAAAAGCCACCTTCCTGGCATTGCAGTGATGATTGGGAAGACTGGGGCGGGGCCTGGCACACAGGAGACACCTGGTAATTTTGAATTCCATCTTCTCATCAGAGGCCCAGCCTCTTGCTTCCTCCCCCCTTCCCCCGTATACACACCACCGACCGCGGGGTGGTGGTGCCTGGGACCAGCGAACGGAGGGGAGCATACCCTGATTGGGGGCACACCGTGCACTGGTGTGTGCCAGACTCCTGTCTGGCACCTCCACTTCTTTGCGGGCGGGGCGGGGGGGCTCTGACGGCAGCACAGAGAACAGAGAACTTGTTTGCCCTTACAGTGAGCCTCTGCATCCGTTTGTGAAAATATAAAAGCTGAAGGGAGAAGGATTTAAGAGATTGGGGGAAGGGCAAGTGTTTCTTCAGTCTTCATTTCCAAAATACTGTTTTATTTCAGAGAGAGAGCAAGCAGTGGGGAGGGGCAGAGGGAGAGAGAGAGAGAGAGTCTCAAGCAGACTCCCCTGCTGAGCTCAGAGCCTGACATGGGGCTCAATCCCAGGACCCTGAGATCATGACCTGAGCCAAAACCAAGAGTGGGATGCTCAACTGACTGCACCGCCCAGGCATCCAAACTATTGTATTAGATGTCTGAAGACGCATCTTCCCATTTCCAGCCCATATTTTCTAATAGGCCTTTCTGTTTCCCATCTTTTCTAGGTAAGACCCTTATATTCCTTATCCTGTGATTGCTTGAGAGGGGATCCCTGGGCCGTCTGGCCTGATGAGACCCCTCCTGTGTCCCTCCGATTGGGATTTGAGGCTTTGCTTAAACTTGGGAGCCATACTCCCCACCCAGGCTGGGACTGGGGGAAGGAGGTGTTCAGTCCTGACTCAGCTTCCCCAATTTCAGTCAGGGGTCCAAGAGGAGAGGGGGACAGCTACTGCACATGCACGGATGGGAGCATACCACTGCAGACAGTCCTGATAGTGTCGTTGCTGCCCGTATCTGGACAGTGAGGAACCGGAGGCCTGGGGAGGGGATGGGCCCGCGGTGCTGGCCTGACTCTCACGTGCATGTGCTGGACCCACAGAGAACATGGACATTCCCAGTGCCTTCCTCCCTAGCCTGGGCAGACCCCCCAGGAGATCAGATCAGCGAGGTTTCCTTCAGGGCCGTGCTTGGCCTCTGGGGGCATAAAATGGTCATGTTCAATTTAAGGAGTGAGGGGTTCCATTAGATGTGTGTTGATGTGAGGGAGGCAGGATATACAGAGCATAGGCCTTGGGGCCCACTGCCATGTATAAATCCAGCTGTGCAGCTGGGGCAAGTGCCTTCATTTCTCTGAGCTTCAGTTTTCCCGTCTGTAAAATAGTTAATGTTAGAATCCTCCTTGCTGGGTGGCTGCAAGGACACCTGAGGTGAAACTTTCAAAGTGCTAGGTGTCAGGGCCCCAGAGGGGATTACTTGCAGTTCCTGACCCAGAGGGCTTGGAGGGAGGGAGAAATGATGTGTAGATGATGTCAGCACTTCACTGGGGTGTGGGGGCCGTGGGGGGTGGATGGGTCCACCGCTTTTGCTTTGAGGGAGGTCAAGGAAATCTCCCAGAGTGGGGTTATTAAGGATGAACAGGAGTTTGCTAGGCAAAGACACTAGCTTGTACAAATACCTCGAAGCTTCAAAGATCTGACTCGGGGAACTGAGAACTTTAGTCAGTGTGAAAAGTATAAGGAGAGAGGGGAGCTGGGGTGGAGGAGGCAGGAGATTGTGGAGCTCGAACTCTGTTCTGAGGTCGGTGGGAGCCATGGAAGGTCCCTGAGTAGGAGAGAGGGGAGGACAGCTTCGAGTGTTTGCACAGGCTCTGGCTACTGTGCAGACTACAGGTGAGGATGCAGGGAGGAGGCTGGGGGTGGGGTCCAGGTGAGAGGTGAGAGGCTAGGGCTGTAGGGGGCAGAATCAATGGATGTTGAGGCAGCAGAATGCCCTTTGCCATTCACTCATTCAGCAGGTATCTATTAGCACCTGTAATGTGCCAGGTACTGTTCTAGGCCCTGGGGGTACTGTAGGGAGCAAAACAAACCTAAATCCCTGCCCTTGTGGGGCTAACAGTGACAGCAGGGGAGCAAGGAAAATGTATGGCAGTGATGCATGCTGTGGAGAAAAAGCAGAAAGTGGGGATGGGGTGTGTGGGTAGTGGTGTGCGGTTTTAAGTGCGGCGTTCAGGGAAGGCCACGCTGAGAAGGTGACATTAGAGCAAAGCCCTTAATGGAGGTGAGGGAGATCATGTGGCTATCCAGCGGAAGAATGTGGCTGGCAGAGGCCACAGCCAGTGCAAATGTCCTGAGGTTTGCACTTGTTGGGTGTTCCCAGGCTGGCAAAGCTAGAGCAGAAGGACTGAGGGGGGAGGATGGACATGGGCTCAGCGAGGTTCTGGGCAAGGGTGTATCATCTGGCCTCCCAGGCCAGTGGATGTATTGGAGGAGCAATGGGTAATTTTTAGGGATAAGGAGGTTATCCCAAGATTAAGGATAGTAATCCTTCTGCTGACTACAGGGCACCTCCTGAGCACAGGGAGGGGCTGTGCCATGCCCTCCTGAGCTTTGTCTGCCTGTGCCCCCTCCATGGTACCCATCTGTGATGAATTATTTACTCCTTCCTTCCCCTCTGTAATGAGGCTCTCTAGCTCGCCTCCTCATCCGGCTCCTGGTATTTCTCACAGTGCAGCAGCTGCACTGAGGTCTCACATCTGACTCCCGGTGTGGAAACCAGCCCCTCCCCCAGTGCCCGAACAGCACCCGGCTCCCAGGCCCCTGCCTTCCTCGATTCCGCGGTGGGGGCGGGCACCAGAGGTTCAGATCAACTGCGGTGTCTCAGACCACGGGATTTCTTTCTTTCTTTCTTTTTCTTTCTTTCTTTCCTTTCTTTCTTTCTTTCTTTCTTTCTTTCTTTCTTTCTTCTTTCTTTCTTTCTTTCTTTCTTTCTTTCTTTCTTTCTTTCTTTTTTATCAAGAAGGCAGAGATAAGGCGCAAACTTCTGGACCTGTTCTTTGTTCCCCAAGCATTTATTGAGCTCTTACTGTATGTCAGGTGCCATGCTACGTATTTCACGTGTACTTTCTTATCTTCACAATGGCCCTGTGAGTAGTGACCTAAGTTGCCCCATTTTGCAGGTGAGGAAACTGAGGCCCAAAGAAGTGACTTTCCAAGGTTGCTCAGCTAGGAAGGAAATGGAATCTGTGCCCCCCCTCCCCCACCCCCCTCACAGTCTGACTTCCAAGCCCAAGTGTCTCACCACAGGAGCATTTCTCAGTGGTCAGTTCTCTGGCTGCCCTGCCAGCAACAGGGGACCCCTCTGTTGCATGCCCAGCGTGTGGCTGCTGGTCTGTCTTGCCCAGGCTCCCTCAAGGTTCTCCACCCTCCCTCTGCTCCCCCCCTGCCCTGAGATAGCCCTGCAGAGTCAGCAGTAGAGCCCCCTAAGATTGCCCTTCCTGGCTGAGCAGCCACCTTTCTCAGGGTGTCTCCCCCCTCCCCACCTGGTCACCAAGTCTGTCCATGCCCCCACCTGTCTGGGTCCCTCTCGGAGGGCAGAGCCCAGAGTTGAGCCCAGGGTCTGGGGAAGTCTGAGCAGGCAGACTACCCGGGCCTCTTCCTGATTCCGGGCAGTGGACGGTCCTGATGGCTCATTCGCCTTGGGCCTGTGTCACCCACCGCCAGAACTAGTGCTGATCTTGTCAGCTAACGTCCCAGCATTGTCTCCATGTGTCAGCCTGAATGTTCAGTCCAGCGGGACCATCTGCCTGTCTTAATTGCCTGGATAATTGTGAAAGCCGTGGGCCCTGTTTCCCTCCCTGAGGAAATGGCCCGATGGGGCAGAAAATGTCCATTAGACAGGAGACCGAGGCCAACCCCACTTTCTGTGGTCCTTGAGCGGGTGGCTGCTCCTCCTGGCCTCAGTTTCCCCTCTTTGCCCCTGCTATGCTCTCCAGCTACCTACCCCCATCCGCCCTTTTGCTCTCCTTGGGCTGACTTTCTCTCTCCAGCCCCCGCATTTTGCTGTCTTGGCCGAGGTGATGGTGACTCATAAGCAGATGTGTGGGCAGGTGGGCGGGCCACGGGGGCCACATACTCTGCAACCTCTCACAGCCACCAACTGGGGCAGCTGGGGTCCCTGTGGGTAACCTTGGGGAAGGTCTTTGCCTCTCTCTGAGTCTTGGTGCCCCATTTGCAGAATGGGTCTGTCGAGGAAGAAAACCTTCCTCGTGAAGATAAACCTTTTGTGAAGATAAACCTGGAAAAGGTTGAGGATCATTTAGAGCCTCAGCTGGAGTCTGAGGTGAGGTGGCCCCAGGCTAGCTGAGGTTGGAGCTGAATAGCCCTCCAGAGACCACAGGTCCAGCTCTGGTTCCAGCCCACACATGTACCCCTGTTTTACACATGAGAAGGCTGAGGCCACTTTGGCTCAAGGTCACCCAGCCAGTTGGAGGTGGAGTCCAGACTTGAACCCAGGGCTCCACTAAGGCTCCCATGGCATTCCTGCTGGAGGATGAGGTGCTAACAAGCTGGGAGGGGACAGTCTAGAATTTTCCTCACCACTTTGGTGTCAGGCTCATCTGGGGGTAGATGGGCAAAGAAGAGGGGGGGTTGTTTGGTTGCGTTGACCGAACCGGGACTGAGAGGCACCCGAGGGTGTTGGGGACCCAGGTGAGGCTTCAGCCAGCTGGAGGATCAGGGAAGCCTTCCTGGGGGAAGAGACAGTGGGGACTTGCAGCATTTGGCCAGGCAGGCAAGGGATGAGGCCGGGGGCATTCCTGGGGGACCATGAGGAGGTGGACATGGCTCAGGATACATGGTGCTGGGGATGGGGTGGGGGGAGGCGACGCTGGAGAGGGGGGTAGCCAGTTCTGGACACGGGTTGACAACCTCCCAGTGGTTCTTCCTAAACAGTGCTGAGGGGCCAGGGGACATGGGAGGCCTCATCTGGCAGGCAGCAGGCACGGGCCCAGAAATCTCAGGGTCAAGCCTTGTCCTCAAACGAGTGGCCTCTGCCAGGTCCCATCCCCAGCCCTGCAGGGCCCCCCACCCCACAGCTCCACCAGTGGGAGACCTGCTGCCTGGCTCTCGTGGTGTATTCATGAGCTGTGTGGGACCCTTGGGTGGACCTTCCCAAATTATGACCCTGCCTGAGGTTTCACATCAGCCCCTGATTCTAGGGTTCTCTTTCAATATTCAGGTCCACCAGGAGGGCACGAAATAAAACGAGGCTCTCACACAAAGCCCTTTTGACAAGATATGTCTACTGGACCGTGATTAAGGCTTTGAAGCCAGACACCTGAGTTCCTCGGTCTCTTCCCCTCCAGATTCCAGTTTCCCCATCTGTAAAAAGAGGTGATTATCCCAGCCTCGTGGGCCTGGTGCAGATGCACTGGAGGTGAAAGCATGCAGAAATTGGGATTAATGCTCACATGTGTGAGCATGGCCCCAGACCACTGGGGTGTGTGGCCACCCACTTGTTCCAGCCATACACCCAGGAGAGGTCCTCGAGATGGGAGGGAAGCTGGTGGGACACATGATGGAAGCCACATCCAGACTCTGGGCTCTTCTGCCAGGGCTCAGAGCCCATGGCCTGCGTCCGGACATGGCATCTGACTCCATGCAGGGCAGTCCTGGGGCAGGGGGTCCTGGGGCTCTGGGGGGGGCCACAGGGAGGCAGGCTCCAGCTCAGGATAATGGAGGGACTCATCCCTCAACTATTCAGGAATAGGGTAGGCTGCTTATGAGGTGGTGAGCTCCCCATTTGTGGAGGTATACTAGCTGTGTCAGACGGCAGAAAGGGTTTCTTTTTATTTTATTTTATTATGTTATGTTAGTCACCATACAGTACATCATTAGTTTTTGATGTAGTGTTCCATGATTCATTGTTTGCATATAGCACCCAGTGCTCCATGCAGTACGTGCCCTCCTTAATACCCATCACTGGGCTCACCCATCCCCCCACCCCCCTCCCCTCTAGAACCCTCAGTTTGTTTCTCGGAGTCTGTAGTCTCTCATGGTTCGTCTCCCACTCGGATTTCCCCCCCTTCATTTTTCCCTTCCTTCTCCTAATGTCCTCAGAAAGGGTTTCTATGTTGGACTGAAGTGTTAGAGGGGATGAATTATCGGTTTCTTTCCAACGTAGCAATCTAGAGATTATGTATAATCATCATTTATTTCTCATTCATTCATCCTAGCACTTACTGCATGCAAAGCCCACCCCTGGATGTCGGGTTGAAATCAATGAGCAAGATAGTCAAGGGTCCCCTGTTTAGTGGAAAAGAAGAGGTGAGCAAATGCATTGAAGGAAAGACTGGAAGGAGGTGTGGTCAGGGTGGGCTTCTTGGTGGAGGCAGCATTTAGCATTTTCATCCTTAGATGGGGAGAGAGAGTTCCAGAAGGACGGAAAGGCCCATCTAAAGGACCCAAGGAAGGAGCACCTGATTCTGAAATCTGACCCTCGGCCCATACTAGCTCAAGGGCTTGGCCCAGTCTCTTCTCCTCTCTGGACCTTCAGTTTCTCCTTGTAAAATGGGAGCAGCAGGGCTTTTGAAAGATCCCGTAAGACACTAAACATCGAGTGTGAGGTACCCAGTAGCCACTTTATACATCTTAGCCCCTTCTCTTTCTCTGGGGCATATGCATTTGGACAAGGGTAATTCTTGATCTAGAGGGTGGAAGGTGGGACTCCAGGCATTGTGTTTGCCACAAGGCTGAACCTGGGCCCCAGACCAGTCTCCCGCTCCACTGAGTCACCCGAGGGCACAGGTTGAAGGCTGTGCCTGCCTCTCCCGAAGCCTCATCGATTGCCAGCTGCAAGGGGGTGTCGTTGTAATCAGACTCCCCTGTGCAGGGGCTCCAGCCACTGCTCCTGACAGCTTGGTCCCCCGGTGGCTGCCCTCTGTGTCCATCCCCCGAAGCATCTCATTGGAGGGAGCTCAGGAGAGCCCACTCTTCCCTAAATGTCATGTGCATGGCAGCCACAGAGCCAGGAGGGCCCCCTTCGGTGCATTCCTTCCTCCAGAGCAGGTCCCTGCGTCTTTGGGACCCAGCCCCACCTGCCTGCCCAGCCCACCTGCTCTTTGGGGCCTTCTGACCCCAGCCATGCTGGTGGGTGCCTTTCCCTACACATACTGTGCACCTTTCTACCTCCCATCCTTTGCCTAGGCTGGCTGGCCCCTCTGCGGTGGGAACCTCATCCTTGAGTGGTTGGTTCCTTTGTCCCTCAAGGCTGAGGTCAGATACCACCTCTACCAGGCAGCTTTCCCTGACTCCTCCTTCGAGCAGCCCTGACTCTTCGGCCCCCTTTGTTATGTTTGAGCTTATAGCAGATCCTCTTTGGGTATAGTTCCTTCTGCGAGAGATGCTGATGTTCTGACATCACATGTGATGTTCTTGGCATGGAGGAGGTCCTGTGTGAGCAGTTGCCAGACCTTGAACCCGATCTTTTGACACCCAGCCCAGGGTTCTCTCCGGGGCAGGACAGGAGGCGCCACTGCCAGGGTGGCACTGACATCGTGAGATTGGAACGCACGACGCTGCTCTTTCCCAGGGCTGAGCCCTGACAACTTGCCCACTTATTTTAATGTTTTGCTCTTTTCGTTTGAAAGGCAGCGAGAGGGCAGATGGGCAGAGCCTGAGCAGTGCCCCCGCCCCCGGGAGGAGCATGGCCGAGGATTGACTGAGGTCAGCTGAGGCCCTCGCCCCCATGCAGGGACACTCTTAGCACCTACTCAAGTTGGTTTTCTAAACCACTTATCCTTTTCTCCCTCTGCACTCTTCCATGGCTCCCCAGTGTCCTCAGGAGAGAGTCAGATCCATTTGAGGCACCTGTTAATTTTTTGTTTTTAACCTCAGGCTCCAAGGGTTGAGCTGAACTCCTCGGTTCATGGTACCTGTGGTCCTGTGGTGGTCTAGCACCCACGCTGGCTCTGTTTTATCTAATTTTTTCTCCTTCGTGCCCTATCCCCATGCCCAGTGTGTCCCTTGAAACTGTCACTCTGTGAAAACAGGTCTTCACACACATGTGCACCCTTGCAGTGCTTTCTGTGTGTTTTTCAGCTACATAAGTGAAATGACAGGGTAGGTCTCGTTGTCTTTCCTCCCCTCTCCCTCCCCCCTGCTCCCCTTCTCTGTCCTTCCTCCCTTCGCCTCCTTTTTCTGCCTTCCTTCCTTTTTTAACTGGACCCTTTGCTTCCTAAATCTATCCGCTGTGCTTCTAACTGCTGTGTCATACGCCATGGGGTGTGGCCGCCATGCGTTACCTGTCCCCTCCCCCGGGATGGAGACCCAGGTCAGCTTCACTGACGACATTCCCATTCCTGCCCCTTTGAGTGGTGGCAGATGACCACCAGGGGTGAGGGTGCTGGGCGACAGCATGCACTGACAACTCATCGCTCTAGGCTGCCTCAGTTTACCCCCCACCAGGAGTGTCCATGACTCTCCACCTACCCTCCCCACGATCACCAACACTTATTTTGTCTGCATTTCTAATGTTCGCCATTCTGATGAGGGTCAAGTGGGAGTTCCTTGTTCCGTTTGCACTTCTCTGGTTGGAACAGCTCTGCACGAACTTGGGGCTGTTTGCCTTCATGCTTGGTGCCTTGCCTATTCAGTCAGTGCCTGTTTATCGTTCCTTTTTTTTTTTTCCCACTTTTAATGTTTTTTTTTCTTTTATTATTTTTTTATCAGAGTATCATTGACACACAATGTCCCATTTTTCTATCTCTTCTTGTTTTGCATCAAGATGCATCCTGACTCCATGCTTTCTGGCCTCTCCCACCTGGCGGTTCCCCAAACTTGCACAGCTGGCTGTTCTTATCAGACGGGCTTTAATGTGCAGTGGAAGGGGAAACAGGCTCAGAGCAGGAAGGGGTTAACGGGGAGTATAGAGAAAATTGGGTTCCAGGTTTCCTACCTCAAGATGCCTTTCCTCTTTCCTCTCCTCCCTCCACCCGCTCCCCCCCCACCCCCACCCACACATCCTGACCCTGCAGCTTATTCGGTCTGGCCTCCATTTGGAAGAAAGTCAGATCACACATGACCCTGCTCAGAACCCTTCAGCAGCTCCCCTCGTGCCCAAAGCAGAATCCTGACTCCTCTTCCACCCAGCGACCTCAGCCACACTGGCCCCCTGACCACACCCCTTCTGATCCTTTGCCTCTGCCTGAACGCCATTTCCCCTGGGAGGCTCCCCGGCCCCACTGCCTTGTGCTGTCCCGACTCCACTCAGCACCATCTCGTTGTGTATCTATATTTGCATGTTTTTCTCCCTGAACTGGCAGCCAGAGAGGCAGGCTCTACATCTGTTTTGTTCACTGCAGAAAACTCGGGGCAAGCTCCGTTTCTAGCAGGTAGTGGGTGCTTAATAAATATTCTTTGAATGAATGAGTGGCCAGAGAGATGGGGCAGGGCTGTGATCATGCTAGCTACTTCTGTGTGCCCTGTACTCAGACAGTTTTCTAGGTGTTTTGTTTGTTCACTGAGTTTCTCAACAGTAGTCCTTTGAATGGACAATTTCATCATCAGTACTTTAGAGGAGGAACCTGAGGCTCAGAGAGGCCCTCTGCACGGTTGTGGCCTTGTAACCTCTTTTCTAGGAGGGAAGCCATGGCAGGTGTCAAGGGAAGTACAGAGGCCAAGAGGAGGACTTAGGGAGCTGCCCTATCCATAGCTAGGCCTGGGATGGTACCTCTAGCCCCTCTCCAGTCAAAAGATTCCCAGAGACTCCCCAGGAGCCACAGCTTGGCCCTCCGCCTCCACCCCATAGACCTTTTGTCCTTCCTGAATCTGGGTGGGCTGGTGAGAGGGCTTCTGAGTGTGCCTTTCTCAGGGGGCTCGGGGTTGGGGTGTTAGTGTGGATGGTATTAGGAGAACCTGGGTTCAAATCCCAGTTTACCCCTCACCCCCTGTATGACTAAGAGCAAGTGGCCTCACCTCTCTGGGCGCCTGTTTTTTTTTTTTTTTTTTTTTTAATCTCTGAAATGGGGATGTTGTGGGATGAAATGAGGAAATAAGTATAAAATGTTGAAAGTCAGGCCCGGCACACAAGCGTTCTTCGCCTGGTTCTGCAGAACAGTCAGCTGTGGTTCCTCTCACATCCCAGAGCCTTCCCCTTCCTTGGTCGGAGCACATAGCCTGTCACCTGAGTCCCCTTGGCCGGATGCCCCCGTGCCCTCTAGGGCTGGGGGAAGGCTGCCGTGAAGGGCTCTGGGAACTGGCAGGTGTCTGGGGCCACAGCCTGGGAGCAGCCCCCTGAGGTGGCACTGCCCCTGAAGCTCTACCCAGCCTGCCCTGAAGTCAGGTGAGGGACAATGGGGTGCGTGTGGAACAGCTTGGCTGGAGTGGGGGCTGCAGCCAAACAGCACCCCCCCCTTAGGAGGGGGTCGGGTAGTGCCTCCCCTGTGGCTGCTGGAATCACAGACCGGGTCTCAGTTTCCCTATCTGTAAAATGGGGACCCACCTTGTGGAAATGTTTACCAACCAGGCAGGGGGCAGCAATTGTCCGGGCCTGGCCTCTGGGGTGGTGTGAGGAGAGAGGCAGGAAGAAGCAACAGAACAGCAGTAAAGGGTTTCTCCGTCTTGTCTTCAGATCGCCATCTCTCCCTCCTTTCCACCCAGACTTCATTTCCGGCTGTCAGTCAGGGGCGGGGGTGGGGGGCAGGGTGCGGAGGGCTCACACAGCTGCCCCGTGGTTATGGTGGACTCAGCCCTGGGGTCTGAGAGAAAAGGCGGAGGCTGAGGTCCAGGCGCCTCCCCCGTGTTGGTGGGGGTCCCCAGATACGGCCCCATCTGGATCTCGGTTTTCCCATCTGTGTGGCATGGGGTCAGTTGGTTCCCACTTGTGGGTGTCACTGTCCCTGGGGGGGGGCAGGGATCCCAGGCATCCTGTGGCAAGTCCTTCAGGGGCAGCCTGGCATACCAGAGAACATGATGCCCGTGGAGCCCCGTTAAGAGACCCCAAGGAGGGCCCCGCAGTCCTGGCTCTGCGTAGGGAGGAGGTCAGGAGTACGTGCTGGACAGTCACAGTCTGCAAAGACCTTCCAAGTCTTTGGCCCTCATGGGTGGGAAGCGGAGGCTCATGCAGAAGCGACTTGCCCAGAGTCACATAGTTTGAGGGTGGCAGAGCGGGGATTTGAGCCTGGGGGCACCTGACCTGTGGCTCAGCCACCTTCTGGTCCGTTTCACAGTGTTGGTATGAGAGTCTTGACAGGAGGGTGGATGGATAAGTGCTTTCTGACTCATGAGTACGTAGCCTCCCCAACCCTAGAGGGTGGGTGCTTTTAATTATCCCATTGTACATCGAGGAAGCTGAGGTCCAGAGAAGGCTGGACACATGCGCCTGGTCGCCCAGCAATACGTCTTCCTGTTGTCTCACAAAACCTGAGGACATGCCGGTGTCAGGGCCTCTTCTGAACATGGAGGGTGTGCCCGCCAGCTCAGTGGCCCTGCCACCTCCCGTACATGGTCCAGTCTCCCTCTCGGCCCATTCACGGTGTTGGAAATGCGGGACAATCCAACGCTCTGACTGGGAGATGCTGTGGCCCGGATCCCCGGCAGGCCTGGCTTCCAGCCACCTTGCACACCCAGCAGCAATCTGTCCCTCTCTTCCTCTGCTTCCCTGAAGTTTGGCAGCGTTCGTTGGATGAGAGGGGTCGTCTTTGGAGCAGGACCAACAGCAACTCCGCCTGCTCTTGGCTCCTAGAAGGGACCCTTGCTGCTCATTGCCAGGCCCTCCTCCCTTCTCCCTCAGGCGGTGCTGCACGGCTGAGGTCCTCGAAGAGCCTTCTTACTCCCTGGCTCTACAACCATCCTTGGCTCCCATTGCCTGCAGGATGAAAGCCAAACTCCAAACAGAGCACCACTCAAACTTCATTTGTGTCCCCTGGGGAGCTTGTTCAGATGCAGATTCTGATTCAGGGGGCCAGGGTGGGGCCTGAGAGTTGGCATTGCTGAGGAGCTCCCAGTGAGGATGCTGCTTGTTGGCTACCCTTGGAGGAGTGAGGCCCTACTAGACCCTTGGTGACCCGGCTGTGCCGGGACATGTCCCTGTGTGCATGTCCCCCTTGGTGTCCTCACTGCTCACACAGGCGTGCCTCGGTGCACACCTACAATGCATTGACCATTCTTTGACTCATTTCCTCTCATCCTTCAAGGTCAGACTCAAAACACCTACCTCCTCGGTGGACCCCCGACAGAGCTAACTGCTCCTCCTCGGCACTTCCAGACCCCTTCATAACCCCTGAAACCCTGAGAGGTACACAGCAGTGCCTTTTAAAAGAGACCTCTTAGATGTGAACCTCACTCCACCCCAAAGCCGGGTGACCTTGGGCAAGTCGCTTAACCTTTGTGCCAGATGTTTATTTAAACCCTGCCTTATTCCAAAATGGACCAACAGTTGCTTCCAAACCCACTCTTGGATAAAATCAAGTGAAAACGTGCTCCTTGGGATTGCAGGATCAGAGGGCAGGGGGAAGACACTGTTTCCCACGTGTCTCCTGGTCTCTCGGCCCCCGGTGCCTGGCACAGCAGGCGTTCAGAGAAACGCTGTGTGGAAACTCTCCCGTAACCCATGGTGTGACCTTTCCAGGAGCTTCTCATCCACAAAAGTAAATTCCAAAGGAGCAGGAAGAGAGACAGATCACCAATCTTAATCGCTCATTTAAATGCATCTGTAGGGCAAGCAAATATTTTCTTACAAGAGGAGGCGGATGTAGCTCTAAAGTCTTGTGCACCAGGCAGCCTTCCACCCTGAAGGGGCTGTAAATATGGGGTGGAGGGCTGCCTGGTGCACAAGACTTTAGGGGAAGACACTGAGGGTCTATTAGGAGCAGCTTACAGGCTGACAAGGGCCATGTCCCTTCCTGCCTGGTGTGGAGCTGAGACAACCCCGAAGTGGCCCTTCGTGTCCTCCTGATGGTCAGGGTCCTCACTGAGAGCTTCATCCTGACTATTGCTAGGCGCCATAAACCACACTGAGAGCCTGCCCCCATTCTCCCAGCAAATTCCTCCCAATGCAGGTCCCCTCTCTCTGACCCAGTGCTCACCACCCCTTCCATGGCTGAGACCTTGCCCTCACTGCGGGCCCAACAACTTTGCCTGGAACCTGGAGCCTGCCCCTGGGACATACGTGAAGTCACCCAAAGAAGCAGGCACCCTTGGGAAGTGGGCAACGGGAGGGAACCTAGTAGAAGGGCACCCAGTCCCTAACCACAGTGCTCTACATTTTCATTCACTGCAGGACACGGAACAAATTTGAACCCCACTTGTTCCCATGTATCCAAGAACCCCACGGGAGCTAGGACCTCATCTGTCTTGCTCTGCGCTGCATTCAGCAGGAGGTGACGTGTAGTCAGGCGCACAGGCTATTGACCCTGTGTGGCTCTCACCCACCCTTCTTCCCAGCACCTTTGTGGTGCCCGGCCCTCAGCTGGTGCCCACACACACTGGTGGGATGGGGAGCACAAGCAGCTGGACAGCTGGAGGAGGGGCCTTGTGGGTCCATCGGGGTTGTCAGGGTCAGTCCTGAGCTGGTGTGGAGGAATCCAGGAGTGTGCAGGGCTGAGGCCCAGTTGGGGCTGGAGTTGTGACCAGCTGCCCCTGCCCGTCAAGCCCAAGGCAGGCAGATCCTCTGCGCATCTTGCTCGGTGTTCCCCAAAGGCTGGGGGGATGCTCCATGTGGCAGGCTTTGGGCTTATCCTCCCCACGCCCCACCTGACAGAAGAGGAAACTGAGGCCTGAAGGAGGTAGTTGGAATGTCAGTGGAAGAGCCCCAGGGGACTCCGAGCTCAGGGGTTTCTAACCTGTGACCTGCAGACGCTCTCTGGCACATGGCTGCACTTTATCTGGCTCATGTTCTGGCATTCTGTTGGAATCTGCTACCTAAAAAAAAAAAGTTTGGAAGGCACTGTTCCTCTTTTCTAGATGGAAAAACTGAGGCCTGGGGAGAGCAGTCACTTACCAAAGTCCCAGGGCCAGTTAGGAGCAGAATCGGCCCCCCAGGGTCTGTCTGCCTGGGGACCTAGCAAGGGGACCCAGGCGTGCCCTCTTCTGAGCTCCCCACCCAGACTCAGACTGTGGGCATGGGGGGCTGGGTGTAGGATGACTTCCGAGAGCCAGCCACACAGTGGCTGTGTCCCCTTTAAGCAGAGAGCCGCCCGCTGCAGTGGGTGGACTCGGTGCCCAGCCAGTGGGAGCTGTGAGCTTCCCTCCCTCAGCCCCTCCCCGGGGGAGGGTGAGGGAGGGTGAGGGAGGGCTGAGCAGCGTGGCTCCCTTGGGAGTTGGTGGGCAGCCGAGGAGACAATAGCGGACATGCTGTGTGGGCTCAGCCGGGAGACCCCTGGAGAGGAGGGTAAGTCTTGGGGACCTGGAGGCAGAGTGATGGGGCTGAACCCTCTGGAGCTCCTGCTCCCAGGGAGGAGACTGGAACGGCCACTCCCCAGAGACCCAAAGCCTGGAGAGAGTGCAGGGCTGGGACCCCTGGCCCCGGGTGGGCCCACGAGAGGACTCTCTGTCAGACCCTGGCTGCCATCCTGCAGTCCTGTGGCTGGGCACTGAGCCCACCAGGCTGTCCCCTGTCCCGTGCGGCAGGGGCAGCGGGCAGGTCTGGAGTTGCAGAGGGCAGCGCTCAGCCCCTCCGAGGTGCCTCAGGGAGGTGCGTCCTGCCTCCGCATGGGCATGAGCTGGTGGGAGTGAGCTCCCTGCCCAGCAATGTGAGGGCAAAGGCAGAGCTCAGGCTGTAGCAGGCGGGAGGCTGGACCCCCTAGCAGGCGGCAGGAGTCCTGGCCCAGGGTCTGGCTGGTGAGCCCGGGGGTGGTGGGAATGCATGCGGCAGGTGTCCTCCAGCAGCCCCGTTCCTAGGTGGGTCCAGGGTTGGCCCCGCGGGAGGGGCTCTGGAGCAAACGTGGTTGCTCCATCCATCTGGCTGGCTGCCTGTCTCTCCAGCCTCATCCTGCTGGGCTGCCTTCCTCCCTTGCTTCCCCCTCCCCCAGCTTATCAAGAGCCACCAGCAGGTCACCCTGGTGCTACCCCTGTCGATCCCTTCCCACACTCAACATACTTTTGATGGTACCTCTTTGAAACAGTTCCAAGGGCAGGGGCTATGGTCCCAATGGACAGATGAGGAAACAGGCTCGGGGGTGGGGCATTGCCCATGCAAGGCCCCACAGCTATGGTGAAGCGGCCAAGCCAGGACTGGCACCCAGATGACTTTTATAGCCCAGTGAACTTAGTCTCCCACTCCCCACCCATGGCCAGGGGCAGAGACAGGGCCATCCCCAGGTCCCCAGATAATAACACAAATAATAATAGTAGCTGACAGCTGTTGAGATCTGACTTTGTGCCAGGCTCTGTTCTAAGCTCTTTCTGTGCATTTTCTCACTTAATGTTCACAATACTGTGAGTTTGGTACTATTCTTCTCTCCATTTCACCGCTGGGGAAACTGAGGCATGGAGGTGTTAAGTGACTTGTCCAAGGCCACACAGCCAAGAAGTAGCAAAGCTGGGATTTGACCCCGTGTAGTCTGCCCCTGCTTCCTCCTGGGGACTACATTATTAATGGGGGCACTGCCTTCCTGGCCTGGGTTTATCTGTTCTCTCAGGTTAGTGGGGCGACCTTGTCCTGCAGTGGTCAGAGCCACAAGGTCAGTAGTGCCCTGGAGACTTCCCCTGGAGGACTACCGGGGAGGTGTCTTCTCCCACCTCATGGGCCTGTGGCCTTCACCTGGGCTCAGACCTCAGCATTGCCTGCCTGGACCTCTGCCCCAGTCTCTTCCTCGGCCTTCTAGCCTCCACCCCACCTCCCCATGCTGCTCTGGGAGGGAGCTTGCTAAAACTCAAATCTGATCACAACAGTCTTGGCGTTCAAGGCCCTTCTTCATCTCCCTGGCTTTTTCTCTCTCTGTTGACTTATTGATGCCCACCCTCACCACTGCAGTCCTCACCCTAGTCTCCTCCCCAGGCCACAGAACCTCATGATTATACCTGCCATAGTTGATGTCAGCACTGAGACTTTTTTTTTTTAAGAAAAGTCCAAAGATGGAGCTTAGGCACAGTGGGATCCAGGTGCTCCCTTAACATCATTAGGACTCTGTGTCTCTGCTTCTCTTTAGGTAAGCTTCATTTTCAGGCAGACTCACTCCTCTCCTTGAGGTGCCCAGAAGGCCCTATAACCCTTGAGTTTAAGGTCAACCAGGTCAGTCATCTCTAAGGAAAGAACCTGTTTCCAATTGTTCCAGCAAACATCCCAGGGCCACCTTTTGTTGGCCCAACTTGGATCACATGCTCACCCCTGACCTGATCACTAGGCCTCTGATTGACCAGCAAGCCCTGGGGGAGGGGGACAAGAGCAGCCAACAGGTGGCCACTCCATACACTCTCTACATTTTGCAGGGAAGGCTGAGGCCCCGGAGAAGTCAGGCCCCTTGCAGAGCTCCTCAGTGAGAGTCAGGCTTGGGGTTGGGGTCTGTGAAATGCACTGCTCAGTACCGTTTCTCTGCCCCTGATGGACTCCTGCCTGCACATGTCCAGTCTTGCTTCGGGGAGCCTTGTTCACCACCCACTAACCCTAAGCCCCTGCGGAAAGGGATGTGACCAGGCTTGGGTGCACAGTAGGCCTGAATAGAGATTTTGGCAGGAAGCTCCCCCCGCCCAGGCCCTCAGTGTTCACTCTCTGCCTCCCTGCCACAAAGTGGTCTTTGTTCCCAGGGCCTACTGGGCCTCAGTGAGCACCGGCCACCCAGCCAGGTCCTGGGAAGGCTCAGACAGGCTGTGTATGCATGTCAGGGGGGTAGGGGAGGGTAGTCCTTCCGCTGTGGCCTGGGCCGCCCATCCTCTGAGGGACTCTCACCATAACTGCCTAGATCGTCAGGCAGGCCTGACCTCCTACCCGACGGCAGGGGCTGTGGCCACGGGGAAACCCCAGCCCTCAATCACAGAGGCCACGGTGTCGAACCAGGGAGGTCCAGCTTTGCATCCTGGCTCTGCCTCTTCCTGATTTTGTGACCTTGAACAACTCATTCCACCTCTTTGATCCCCATCCTCCTACTCTGTAAGTAGGAATTGAATTCCAAATTATTTACTGAATACTTACCGTATGCCACGCTTTCCATGCTGGACCTGGTAGTGAGCAGACAGACGTAACCAGCCTTCTGGACCTGATATCCTAGTGGGCAGAGGTGGATAGTAAATGAGATCATGACATTTTTTTAAAAAGTGAGGTTTGTTACATGGTGTTGAGTGCATGAAAAAGATAAAGCAGGGACGGAGGGTATGAGTGGTACTAGAGGTATGTGTTGGGGGGGGTTGTGCAACAAGTTTATTGGGGAGGACCTTCCGGAGAAGATGACATTTCCACAAATTCCTGAAGGACGTGAGGGAGGGAGTTTGTGAATGTCTGGGGAAGAGCCTTCTGGGCAGAGGGAACAGTCAGTGCAAAGGCCCTGGGCTGGGCACAAGTCTGGTGTGGGGAACAGTAGGAAGACCAGGGAACTGGAATGGAGCTGGCGAAGGGGAGAGTGTTAGGAGGTGATGTCAGGGAGGCCGAGGGTCTGTCAACTATGGTGAGAACTTTTGCTTTTATTCTTCACAGAGTGAAATGAATCTTTTTCCTGCCCCAGGCAGCCACCGTCAGGAAAAAAAACGGTTCCATTGATGACCCAGTTTTAAGGTCATGCTCCTCAATATTGCTGGTTTCAGGGTGAGGTAGGAGAGCCTCGGCCCAGAAGAGGCAGAAGGCCGAGGCCTGACTCGAGCCTTGCACCCTTATCCCACATGATGTTGGGGTCACCGTGGGCTCTAGGGCCATGGCAGGGATGTCATCCTGAGCGTGGCTTTAGGGCCCAGTGCCAGGCGTCCCACACACCTCATGGAGGGGGGACAGTGGACTGGCAGGCTCTCTAGATCATGCCCACGGCCCCTGGTACTCTGCTGTGCCCAGCCTCTGGGTGCCTGAGTCCTACCTTGGGGCCTCCTGGAGGCTGGCCCTGGCTTCCCTGGTGCCACTCCTTTAGGGTCCCTTAGCCTTGTGTTTAGAGGGAGAGCACACAGCCGAGGGGTAAGGATGTGGCCTGCTGGGAGGCCAGAAAGATCTGGACTCCAGTCCTTCCTCTGCAGCTCACCAGCTGAGTGACCTCTCTGGGCCTCAGTCTCTGCATCTGTAAAATGAGGAAGTCGGCGAGCTTCTCTCCCGATGCTCTCGGCAGAGTTAAATGAGTTAGTGCATGGAAAGTGTGGGCCTGGCGCTCCTTTCTCATGTTCTTTTTTCTCAATCCTTGGCAGCAAGTGAATCGGGCATCTACTTTTAAAATCTCTTGGTATATTTCTTGCTTCCCTTAAAAACATGCATTGAACAGAAGGAGGGGTCATCCTGTTGCCAAGTTGATCTTTCCCTGCTTCTCTCTCCGTGGGAGGCCAGCCTCTGGAGAGACTTGTCAGCTGTGGGGATCAGGGATCGGGGCTGTCGCTCCGAGGTCAGCCTGTACCGGGTGTATCTCCATCCAGCTATCTGCCCTGGTCTAGCCTGCAATGGCCTGAGGGGCATCCTTCTGTGGGCAGTGCCCAAAGGAGCTGGGCTGTTGCCTGGAGCGCAGTGATCTCAGAGCCATAGGCGAGACCGCGGAGTCTCCCCAGGACTGTCGTGGCGTGGGAGGAGGAGGCTGGAGGGGGCCCATGGCTCTGCCACTTAGGAGTTGTGTGACGCTGGGAAGTCCCCTTGACCTCTCTGTGCCTCCGTTTCCTCATCTGTCACATGGGGATGATAATGGCACCCACCACATAGGAGTATCGTGAGGATAAAGTGGTAACCATTTTAAAGGTCATAGAACATGGCTTGTGTTCAAATCTCGACCCTGCTCCTTACCATTGGAAGTCAGTTAACCTCTGTGTGCCTCAGTTTGCCCCTCTGTAAAATGGGAATAACGATCGTACCATCGCAGAAGGTAGTGAGGATGAAACGAGGCAGTGCTTATGAAGCACCTAGCACAACACCCAGCGCTTAATCAGAAGGAGTTGTTACCATTATTAATCTACGAAAACCTTTCTAACCAGGTCAGCGGTGGGGGCAGGGAGAGAACTCCTGAGTTTCATGGCTTCTGTGTATACCCCATCATCCCACTGATTCCTCACACCGCCCCAGGAGGTGAGCCCTCGCACTGTGCAGAGGAGAAGCCTGAGGCTCAGAGAGAAGTGACTTGTCCCAGATCCCTAGCCAGTGGGCAGCAAGGTTTAGAATCAGAATCTGAAGCTGGCCTAAGTCCAAAGTCCATCCTTCCTTTTCCCGCAATGCCTGCCGAGGTGGAACAACCAAGCTGGGACTGGCAGATCCCTTGGGGGTGTGCCAGCACAGCAAGCAGC